TTCCCCGGCAGAGCATCTGGTGGATTCAAACCGTGCACCTCTGGGATTGTAGTTGCAGCTTCTTGCCACTAGGCCACCAGAGCTCCCCTCGTTTTATCTTTTTAGTGAAAGTTGTATTTGATCGTCTGGGTGACGAAATGGGAAGTATGAGCATCATGTTGTATGTTGTTGTTGTTAATTGCCACTGAGTCGAGCATGACTCATAGTGACTCCGTGAACAGAAGACCTAATGCCCTTCTATAACTATCATCATTTCTTTAAGTTCATAGAGTTTCCATAGGCATGTGATTTAGGAAGTGGATGCCTCTCCTGTTTCCAAACCTGTTTTACAACTCTGAACTCCACCAAACACTATCCACGTTGGGAAACCGTTAACGGCATTTCACACCCCAATGGCACAAGGTTCAGAATCACAGCAAACCCACATTACCTCAGTCAAGCAAACTGGCAAAAGAGTGATGTACAAAGTAGAAGAATGTTCCTCCAAAATAAACATCACTAGTCTCACTTAGCAGTGGATAGTTGTCATCAAGTCAGATACAACTCATACAACCCTATGAAGAAAAGACCAGAATTCTGTTCTATAATTAACCTCATTCCTTTATGTTGATAGAATCACTGTTGTATACTGAAGCATAATGTTTGTGTTGAAGAAACACACGACTGAGTTACAAGCTAAAGTAACTACTTTATGGGGTTTTTTTCTTAGCTCACTATTTTGTTTAAAATAATGTTCAACAGACAACTATGATTCTTGAGACTTGGATATTGGCCAGACATTTTTTCAGAAATGGACAAATTGAGTCTGATGCTTCTGTTGTTGTTGTTGTTATGTGCCATCGAGTCGCTTGCAACTCATAGCAACCCTATGTACCCCTATGTACAACAGCCCTAAACTCTGTTCTGTCCTATGCCAATCTCAACGTCTCTGACACACCCATCCTGATTACCCCAGTCACTGAATCAATCCAACTCCCAGAGGGCTTTGCCCTCCTGCGCCTGCCCTCCACCCTCCCAAGCATGACGTCCTTCTCCAAGGACTGGTCTCTCCTTACAGCATGACCAAAATATGTCAGATGAAGCCTCAGAATCCTTGCCTCCAAGGAGCAGTCCGGTTTAACCCTCTCCAGGACGAATCTGTTTTCTTAGCAGTCCATGGTACCCTCAATACTCTTCTCCAGCACTAAAGCTCAAAGGCATCAATTCTCCTTCTATCCTCCCTAGTCATTGTCCAACTCTCTGATGCATAACAAGTGATTGCAAAGACCATGCCTGTATCAGACGCACCTTAGTCTCCAGAGTGACACCATTGCTCTTCAGTACCCTGGAGAGGTCTAACAGCAGACTTTCACATCGCAGTACGTTTTTTGATTTCCTGGCTACTGGTGCCAAGAGTGTTGACCGTGGAGCCAAGCAGACTAAAGTTGTTAACAATCTCAATCTCTTATCCATCCATCCTGATGCTGCCAATTGGTCCAGTGGTGAAAAACTTCTGATGCTTCTAAGTAAAAAATTTTCTATGTTTGTTACCAATGATCATGTCGAGCTTGCAAGTAAAAGAATTTTGCAAAACATCTGTCACTGGGAGCTTGATTTGTCTAATGAAATCAGTGGTGACATTTTTAAAAGTCACTCTTAGTGTGAACATTTAAAATAACTGAATGATAAACCATTATTTCTCAAATGACCAGTGCATCAGATTATTAAGTAATGCACGAATAGGAGATCCATCCAAAGTAGTAGATCAATGCTTTGTAACGTAACAGAACAGAAACCTTGTTGTCATGGTTTCAGATATTGCGTTATAGCTAACCTTTAAAAAAACAACTGTTATTTGAATTTTCATGTAATATCAAAAAATATCCACAGTTATCTAGAAAATAGTTTCTCCTTTCTAGGTCCACATCCATGTGAGCCTCTATTTTAGTGAAAACAACATATTCCAAGAGATTAAAAATGCAGAAGTGGTTGTGAGCTTGCGTCTTTTCTAAAATGATTTGCAAAAACAGTGCCATTCTTTCCACTTTTTTTTTTCACTTTGAAAAAATAGAATTCTTTTTCAAAAAACGGTAATGTTAATGTTAATAGGTAATGGCTGTATTCAAGTCAGAAGCTATCCTGAGATCAGAAAGCTTGAGAAATAACTGATTTAATCACCGCGTGTTGGTAGATTTTAAAGTGCTGTCCAGTTTTTCATTATTTTTTTTTAATAATTTTAATGAGCATTTACAGAGATTTTGGATTTCCATTCATTCATTGCTGTACTTCTCTCCCTGCCCATCCCTCCCCCCACCCCCAGTTCGCTCCTCTCTTTCAGAAGTAAAAGAAACACTCCTTCCCTGGTACACAATCCCCCTGCACCCCTCCCACCGCCCCAAGTACATTCCACGATGCAACCTTAATTGTGGACTCCTGTGATAACCATAAGACCCTATCATGCATCGCTTTTAAATTATTCACTCCCTCATCTGTTTCAGTGCAGTATATATAGTTTATCCAGTTTTTCTCAGTCTTACCCCAACCCTGATATCAGTCCCATTTTACAACAGTAGCACCATGCAATATTTGTCCTCAGTTTTTCATTATTAAGACATTTCTGCAGTGCACATTTCCCCTTGCACACTGCTTGGTAGTGTGCGTTTGATATTTTCATAGACGTTGGAAGTACTGTGTGAAATGACAGGCACATTCCTCACTCACTTCTTGGCAGATCGCCTGCTGTCGGAGTTGGGCTAATTTCCCCTAGATGGTGAATGAGGGTATCCTTTGTGTAGTCATTAACACTGCCAGACTCGTGGATAAAAGATTTCTTATTTTTAAATGTCTGTGTTCTTCAAAAGCCTTTAGTATAATTAGATCGCTTTTCACGACGTTTAGCTATTTTTATTTCTTGTTTTGTAAATTTCGTGTGTGTATTTGCCCTTTTTAGCGTGTTGACCATCTTTTCCCCGTGAATTGGATGAGTTCTTAAGAAACATCGGCTCCCGATAGTCAGCAGTGCTGTCTGTAATTGTGCTTTCTCAGCTGCTTCTGATTTTATGTTGATCTAAAATGCTAAGCAGATTTCTGTGGGTTTTTTTCCATGTTGCCATATTTTATTCCTTTTCCCCCCTTTCTTTTTTGGCTTTTGGAATTCATGCAATATGTAGGCTTCACATACTCAAAATTATAAAAATATTTTCCTATATTTTCTTTTTCTGATTGATGGGTGATTTTCTTCTTTTTTAAAGCCTAGAAATGTGACAGCTTAATTTTAGGAGCAATCTAAACAGGATCTATAATTGTGTGATGGAAACGAATTGTGTCAGAATGAAATTTAAAGAGGATGAATCATTTAGGGGTGTGGTGTATCTTACACACACCTCCTTCCCCTCCAGCCCTCCCCACCTTAACCTACTAACCTTGGTGTTATCTTCCTTTTTGCTCTTTCTCTTTAGTTGCGGAAACGTGTCAAGCTTGAAGGGAAGGAACTTGAGGAATATTTGGAAAAAGAGAAGCTAAAGAAAGAGGCTGCGAAGAAACTCGAGCAGTCAAAAGAGTATGTTGCTTGCAGACAGGTTGTGAATTGAGATATGCAATTTGGGAAGAACTTACTTCAGTGTTTACAAGTGGTGGTGGTGGTGTTGTAGTACCATAGCATCAGAACCGACCCATAGCTGACCCTCCAGCGGGTTTTCAGAGGCAGTTAATCACACGGAAGGAGATTGCCCCTCCTCCCACAGAGCAGCTGGTGGCCTCCTCGAACTGTGCCTTCGGGAAGTTACCCAGTCGAAAATACTTAAACCTTCTTTTAACTTTATTACTTTTGTTAGGAAAGATGTATTTCACTCACTCATTGTCAAGTTGGAACCAACTCGTAGGTGACCCTCCAGTGGGTTTTCAGAGACTAAATCACATGGAAGGAAATTGTTCATCTTTCTGTGGAGAAGCAGCTGGTGGATTCGAACTGCCTGTCTTTGGGCTGGCAGTGCAACTCCTTACTCACTAGGCCACCAGAATTCCCTCAAAGGGTGCTAGAATACCAAATTGTCTCATTAATGTGCATTTACTGTGTATTAATGTTACATTTGACAAAATAGCAATCTAATACTGAATATCATTAATAATAAAAATTATTAGCAAAACGTAGTTTTCTAAATACCAACTCGTGATCTAGTGGAGATTGTGTGACTGTCATTTGTGTTGACTCCCTCAGGGCTGATATTGATTCCAGTGACGAGAGTGACGTTGAAGAAGACATTGACCAACCTTCAGCCCATAAGACCAAGCACGACCTGATGATGAAGGGCGAAGGCAGTCGGAAAGGAAGTTTCTTCAAACAGGCCAAGAAGTCTTATCCTATGTTTCCTGCCCCCGAGGAGAGAATTAAGTGGGATGAATATGGAGAGATTATCAAGTGTGTAAACATAGCAGAATTTCCTTCTTAAAAAGTTGGGGGCATAAGTTGTGCCAGTATCTGAATTGAGTGAATTTGCCATCCCTGCCCATTGTGGTCTTTGTTAGCTTTGAAGGTAGAGAATGTTTGGCCTTCAAAACCCTAAAAATTGAAACACTGAGGAGTATCTAGAGACTATGAAAGGAAAGGGGGAATTTTCTTACGAAGAGTTACAGTTGCAACAGCAGTAGGTTTAGGGTTTTGGTTATTGTGCTGGTTTGTTTGGTCTTTGTCTTTTTTTAATATGAAAGTTTCTAAAGATAGTCAAGGCTTTGTCCTTGAGAGATCAGGGACGTGATGGTGATGGTGATGGTGTGTGGGGAAGAGGCATGTCTCAAATAGCACTTCACCTACCTTTGGTTCCTAAAGGAAAGAGGGAGCATGAGTGAAGCCACGGAAAAGCTCTGAAGGCCACACCAGCTCCTGGAAAAATAGCCTCTGAGGACCCTGGTGTCCTGTGTGCAAATCCTCCAGCATCCCCTTGCCTTGTCGGTAGACGCCCAGCACCTTGGTACCAGTGTCCTTCCCATCCTGGCTCCTCCCTCTTTCTATTACCCCATCTCAGTCCCCCGCCCCCCCACTGCCTCCTCCTCTTCTGGAAGTTCCTCCTCCTCAATTTTCTCATGAAATGTCTTTGCTCATGTTTTCCTTCAGCCCTGCTCCCTCCCCATCAGGTGTCCAGGTTGTTGAGTCTGGCTCCACAAACCCCAGGAAACCTTTCCTTTGGATGCCTCTCCATCCCAGTAAGCCCTTCTCGGAACCTTCCAGAGTGCTGTCTTATGGCCCTAGTGGACTGACCATCAGGCTTGGTTATTTAATGAGCACTCCATTCTCTCCCTGGTCCTCCAAACTAATAGAAAAAAGCCCCAATTTAATTTGCTGACCACTGCACTTAACAAGTATCTTTTTAGACTATGGACAGTGTTCTTTAGCCTCAATTTCCTTATCTTAAAAATGAAGATAAGAATGAAATGAAGTTACACATTTTAAGGCACTTTACACAGTACCTGATTCACAGTAAATGCACTTGGTGATTGTTAACTGTTGCTATAGTTTACAGTGGAGAGAATTGGACTCCAAGGTTAAGAAGCTGTTGTAGAACTCTGGATGGTGGTAATAGAACCCCAGATTCGCAAAGAGAAATGTCAGCGTGTTTAGGTCTTAGGCAATTGTAGGAGGTTGGAGAGAAAATGTTACCAAATCACTTTTTAAAAAGCACATGAAGCCAAAACATAGCCCTGCTCCGCTAATTGAGGAAGATGTAGAGGTGGATGGCGTGTTGGTGGTTGGTAGGTGACCACAACTCATGGCAGGTGCCATTGAGGTGACTCTGACTCTTTGTGACCACATGAACAGGAGATTGCCTGTCAGCAACCTTGCCCTGTCCTAAGCCGTCCTCAGGTCTTTCAGGCCCTTGGCTGCAGTCCCTGTCAGTCCATCTCATTAAGGGTCTTCCCCTCTTTGGCTGACCTTCTACTTTTCCAGGCTTGCTGCTTTTCTCCAAGGGCTAGCCCCTCCTGACAACATGCCCGCGGTATGTGGGATGCAGTTTCACCATCTGCCTCTAAGGGGCACTGGTTGTCCTTCCTCCAAGCCAGATTGTTCTTTTGGCGGTCCATGTGGAGCTCCGGAATTAAAACAGGCTTGGAAGCAGGAGTGCCATCCACTTCCGAAATAGCTTGTCTCCGGAAACTCGGTGAACTTAGAGAAAAGGGGGAAGTTTTTTGTGTTCAAGACTTTCTTTCATAGGGTCACTATGAGTCATCTACAACTCGACGGCATTCACAGCAATAACAGCATGGGGTATTCAGTATTCTCCCCACTACCACAATCCAAAAGCTTCAGTTCTTCAGTCTTATTTAGTCATTGTTCAATTTACAGGTGCATATGAAGCAATTGAAACTACCGTGGCTTGGGTTAGTTACCTTCGCTTTTAAGCTGACATTCTTGCTCTTTTGCAATTTAAAAAGGTCCATGAGCAGATTTTCACAATGTGTCGCTTCTTGATTTTTTGACTGCTGCTTGTTGAGTGTTGACTGCAGATCCAAGTGAAATGAAATCCTTGATCACGTGCATCTTTTCTCCATTTATCATGATGTTGTCTCTTGTTCCAGTTGTGGGGATTTTCTTTTCCCTTTTTGCCCAGAGAAAGCAGATGGCTTTGGTAATGGTTTTGGTAATGTTTGCATATTACCAAGCTCCCGCCAAAGCCTTTCTCTTTATTTCACTGTCCTGTTAACAGCAATTTTACAACAATGAAATGAAGATCAAGGGTTGTGCAGGAGCTTGGTAATGTGCAAATGGAAAGACATCTGCTTTCTTTGGGTAAGAAGGAAAAATAATTGGCAGTTTTAAGGAAGTAAAAGGTCAGAGATTTGGAAGTACTGGGACTTGACCAAAAAAACCCCACTGATCCTGGGGAGAGGAGACTGGAAAGAAAGCAGGCCTAGGTGGCAAGTGCTACTTCATCTCTGTCATCAGCTTTCTGTGGCTTCTCTTAAGAGTTCTTGTGATCATCAACAACAGCAATAACGGAGTGGCTGTTGCCCTTCTCCGCTTGTGTGTACAGTATGTGTGGAATAAAAAAGGGAAGGTGGTTTTTTATAAAAAGTACTTGTGATATCCAGATGACCTGTTTAGGGCTTTTTCATGCTCCACGTGATTTTTGTTGAGAATAAACCCAGCAGAGCATACAGTTTCTCTGTGTATAATTCTGTGACTCGATTATATTCTTCAGGTTGTACAATCATTCTTAATTACTTTCCCAAATTGTTTCCTCCTCATCAATATGATCCCACTGCCCGTTAAGTTTCTTGTCTAAATCTTTCTTGTTGCTGTTAATTTGAGAATATAGAGAATAATATAGAGCATTCTTAAAATGCATAATGCTCAAGACAGACTGTGTTTTCTGGTTAATTGAAACTATTGTTTGAGTTTGAGAAGACTTCAGGAAATATTTTTGGTTTAAAGATTCTCTCAGAGCCAAAAGCATTCCACAGTGGTCCTGAAACAGTGGAGGCTATCATTTGATAATTGATGTTCTGAATTGTTTTATTAGATGTCAATCAATGAAATGTTGGAAAAAGAAGCCTAAAAATTAGGTCATTTGTTAGTCTGATGCAGTGCCTGGATGGTCTAGATGATTGATGTGCTTAACGCCTAACCAGGGTCGGGATTTGAATCCACCCATAGTTATCTTGGAAGAAAGGCCTGGCAGTCTACCTTTTCAAAAGTTAGTCCTTGTAAGCCCTGTGGAGCATAGTTCTGCTTTGACACACAGGTATTTGCCACGAGTTAGAGGTAATTTACGATATTAACACATTTTATGAATTAGCTATATAGAGATCATATAACATTATCTTGCTTGTTACTATTCTAATTGCAACCTTACTGCTGACAAGTTAGTTCTGAGGCTGTAAATCAAAGTGGGAAGAGGCTGCCTGTCTTTCTTCCTCAGAGCAACTGGTGGTTTTTGAACCACTGGAGATGCTCTTAGCAGTGCAGCTCATGGTGGACTCGGTCCAGAGCACACTACTACACTAACTAGAGATTTCTTTTTAGACCAGAGGATTTCCTCGTGCCAGAACTGCAAGCTACTGAAGAAGAAAAAAACAAACTAGAGTCTGGCTTGACAAACGGAGATGAACCCATGGATCAAGATTTATCTGATGTTCCTACTAAGTGTATTTCTACAACAGAGTCCATTGAAATAAAGTAAGTACTTGTGTGGCATTAGGGAATGGCATTTACAAGGTAAAATGAAAGACGCTGAATTTTACAAATTTACTTTGCTTAAAAGTAAAATCTCTTAGTAACCTTTAGTGTAAGCTTTAAAACTTTGGTTTCTTTTTCGAAGCAAAGCTCATAGCAAAGTGGTCTTTTCTCTTTGTTGAACATCAAAGCCGTCAAATGGGTGTGTGGGAAAGGTTGGCCATGAACTTGGACGTTTGTATATCATGAATCAATCTAGTAGTGCATCTCGCAGGTGTGTGCATTCCCTGCTTAAGCATCTCGAGTGCCTCCGAGGACCCCATGTTTTGGAATTACTGATGTGATCCACAGTCGCTATGGGGACACTTTGCCTGGGCACTTGCATAGTTAGTTAATCACACTGCTAAGTCGTCGTGGTCTGCTTCCCTCCCGTGTGTCCGCTCTTCCTTTTCCTTTGGTGGCCACAATAACTTGTTGGAATCTTGTGTAGTTCATCCAAAACCAAATGGTTTCTTCTCTAATTCTGTCACTTAGTAGATATTCTCTAGAGCTATGATCTAAATAAGATTTATTAATAATATAACACTTGCATATTCCTCAAATCCATGTTTTATTTACTGTATGTATTTCTTTCTGGTGAAGGCGGCCAGGAAAAAAAAAAAACTCTGCCTTCAGAATTGAATTCTAGTCATAAGTAAGCTTGAATAATCCTGTCTAATTACAGAGCCAGGGTTACATACATAGACTATGAAGGACGCTCTGATGGCGACTCCATTAAAAAAATCATTAACCAGATGAAACCCCGGCAGTTGATCATTGTCCACGGACCTCCAGAGGCCAGTCAGGATCTGGCCGAGTGCTGCCGCGCGTTTGGAGGGAAGGACATTAAAGTGTACATGCCAAAGCTGCATGAAACAGTTGATGCCACCAGCGAAACCCACATCTACCAGGTAAACACCCTGGTGTTTGAGCCGTGTAGAAAGAAAGGCTCGGATGCAGATGAGGAAAGACCCAGTAAGCGTGCAGTGATGAGGGAGACAGACATGGTCCTGCGCCCCGGCGGCTGCTGCATGCGTCACCTGTTACCTGTCTGCTAGGAGACATAGAGGGTGCCCCGAGAAGATAGAGGATGGGGAGGGCAACCCGAATTAGAAGGCCAGAAAAGACAAGAAACGAGGACTAATCTGAATCCTGACAGATGTCACTGTGGGTTGTTGGGGTGGAATAGGGTAGGGCAGAGAGGGGAGGAAAGAAGCTTCCAAGCGGTGGGGAGACTATCTAGAAGTTAAGAGAGTTGTTTTAAAAATGAGAGCATTTACATGTTTAGTAAAATCCACAGATGGCAGGATTCTGCTTGACATGGAAAATGGGTTAGGGAAGCATGCACAGAAAATAGGAAGAACACAGAAGAGAGATTGAGTAACACCAAGCTGGCCGTGGGAGGGTGTGAGAAGTGATGCTGGACAGGGCGTTGGAACTCGCCAGGTGGACACTCACTACCCTGGGTAGAGCATCCCAGGTGTCATTTCAAGAATGTGGAGGTGTGCAATCTCAGAGGTGCATGGTTTGACTCCACCAGACGCTCTGCTGGAGAAGGAGGAACGATCTCCTCCTGTACCAGTCAGATCTTGACGGTACACACACAAAATAATGAAATAAAATTTAAAAAAAAGAATGTGGAAGTGTGAAACTACATGGTGTATTTCAGAAAGTAGAAACAGTTCAGCACCCTTGAAGTACCCCGGGGTGGTCCTGTGCGTTAAGCATTGGGCTGCCAACTTAAAAAGTTTGCTGGTTCAAATCCACCAGCCTCTCTGCTGGGGAAGGGTGAGGTGGTCTGCTTGCAGGACCATGGCCAGCCTCGGACACCCTGTGGAGCACTTCTGCTGGGTCCCCCAGGGTCTCTGTGAGTTGGTACCTGGCCACTGGCAGTGGGTAGGAAGCACATCAAGTATTAGAGGGGCGACCTTACCGTGGTTCTCCGCCCTGACTGCGTGTGAGTCATCTCAGGAGCTCTGAAGCGTGCTGGACCCTCAGTGCCCCTTCTTACCCCACCAGCTGTCTGAGGATCACTGGAGGTGAGGCCTCGGTGTCAATGTCTTTTTTTACATTTTCATGTAATTCTAATGTACAGTCAGGTAAGAATCATGGCTTAGAAAGTAGGTGAAAGTAGGTTTTCAAATTTGTATGCACTTTATTAGTTAGAAGAGGGTGGATTCTATGTCATCTGTTGCTGTGCTTTACAGTCTGGCTTTTCCTTCTCCCCCATGTCTTTGTATTTCTAGGTGAGATTGAAAGACTCGCTCGTGAGTTCGCTTCAGTTTTGTAAGGCAAAGGATGCTGAACTGGCATGGATCGATGGTGTCCTGGACATGCGGGTCTCCAAGGTGGACACGGGGGTGATTTTAGAGGAAGGAGAACTGAAGGATGATGGAGAAGACGCGGAAATGCAAGTGGAGGCTTCCTCGGACTCCAGCGTCATCGCCCAGCAGAAGGCCATGAAAAGTCTGTTTGGTGACGACGAGAAGGAGACAGGCGAAGAAAGCGAGGTCATCCCTACCCTGGAGCCGCTGCCGCCCCATGAGGTAGAGTGTGGCCGGAGCTCGTGGTGCCCATCCCCCTCGTTTCCCTGCATGCGTTTAACCATTTAATGACGGTCAGGCGGGCTGATTGAGGGAGCCTTCGTTCCTCTGTGTGTATGTGGATTGAGATACATAAGTACACAGAAGTTCTGGGTCACTGTAAAGTATGGCACGCGCATGATAGATTTCTTTAAACAGAAATCCTTTGGCAAATCCTCTGACAGGGTAGTATATCATCATTTCATAATTCTTTTTTTTTTTAAGGTGGTTTTTCTCCAGTGCCGATGGACGAGAGTCCACCTACATTTTTGCCCCCTTCCTTTTGTGTACTGTTGAATCAGATCTGACTGGCACAGGAGGAGATTTCCCCTCCTTCTCCGGGGGAGCATCTGGTGGATTCGAACTGCATGCCTTTGAGATTGCGGTGCAGCTTCTTACCACTTGGCCTCCAGAGCTCCCTCACAAATTTATTCTTAAGTATAAAGTTTGATGATTGTGAGAATTGTCCTCCTACTTCCAACCAAGCGCTTCCCCCTCCCCCCTGTCCAAGAATATCATATTCTTGATTTTAGCTTAGTTCAAGTTGCTTTTGTTCCAGCCAGAACAGTTTTGTTACGTATAAATATAATTCTAGTCCTGCCTGGTATTTCTCTGCTCTCAAGAGCTACTAATTAGCACAGATTGCAGTTGTATGTGTATGATTTCAATTCATTGATATTAAACTTGATTGTTAGGGTCCTCTGTGCAAGCCAAAGGCGTCTTGAGTCCTGCTAGAAATGAGCAGTAGACAGCTTTGGATTCCTGACTAGGACAGTTTTTTTGAAGTTGGGAAGAGAGACTCGGGCTCGACACACAGTGACTCTCCATCGGGTTTGTGAGGCTGAAATCACAGCAGGAGGAGATGACCCATCTTCCTGTCTCAAAGCTGCTGGTGGATTTGAACTGCCAGAGACGTGCAGCCTTTGGGTTAGCAGTAACTCTCACTACCCACTCAGCCGAGGAACTGTCGCTCTTCAGTCTCAGAGCAGCAGTATTAAGTTGAACTTTTTGATTCTAAATCCATTGGCATCCATTGCGTTGGCTCTGAGGAGGGAGGGAAAATGGAAACAAGGTGAAGAGATGATTATTCTCTGAACACAGCAAAGGACTAGATTCTAGAAAAAGTCCTAGTTCTCCTCTGCCTATGGGTCCTCTGGTTAACTCATTAGGCAGATGGGTGTCTGGCGAGCATAGGGCATGGTCTGGTGTGTCCTTGGGGTTAGGAGCCATGACTGTAGTGCAGACTGTGAAACATGAGAACATGGGAAGGGCTTTGTGATGGTAAGTAAGGACGTAAAATTCAGTCACTCCTTGCAATGGGATTCACCACCTTGACACGACCTGTCAGAGAACCACGGGGAATCATAGAGCATATCGTAGAGATGGTGTGTTAGGATCATTAAGTATCTATCTGCTGGCTTTTTCCTCCTCCTTCGACCTTTGCTCAGGTTCCCGGACATCAGTCAGTTTTCATGAATGAACCGAGGCTGTCAGACTTCAAGCAAGTCCTCCTCCGGGAGGGGATCCAGGCTGAGTTTGTTGGTGGAGTCCTTGTTTGCAATAATCAAGTGGCGGTCCGCCGAGTAAGTATGCTCACAGTGTGGGCCTCCAGTGACCTGTCATTTGGGGTTCTGTCATTCAGACGTGGTCATCTCACAAAACTGAGACCAATACTTCCTACACAGAGTGATGACCTTGGAGGCCGGGAGACTGACTCTCAAAGAAATGATAGATCATTTTACTGTAAATTTTTTTTTTTATTTGAAGTCTCTGACATTTATGTCTATGAAAAATTCATGACTTGAATATTATATCCAGATTCTATGAGTCAGAGCAGTCTATTCCCTGGCCAATCATAAAGTAATTTATTTAATATATTTTGGTTATTATAGCTGCATATTAATGAATAGAAAATGAACTTTCCCCCCCCTTCTTTTGATTTCTAGACGGAAACTGGCCGCATTGGATTAGAAGGCTGCCTGTGTCAAGATTTTTATAGGATAAGGGATCTTTTATATGACCAGTATGCCATTGTATAAAGGACAGGATGTCAAAAAGTATCTGCTGTTTGACCTTTTGAAGAAAAAAGAAATTCTTATCTTATTGTAAGATGTTGCTTTTTTTTTCTTTTGGGTTTTGTAACATACAAAAAGGATCATCCAGAAAAAACCTGATGTGTTAGATTTTTAAAAAATGTAAATAGAGACAATTTTGCTGATGTCAAATGAGCATTCTACCTTTCAGCTTTTGGCATGGTGTAGAGGCCCTTTACAAGTGTAGACCCCAGGAGGTGAAGGTAATCTGTTTCCTCAACAGACTTCTTACTCCAAGAGGGGCTTTTTACTTGAATAAAATAATGCAAACTTAGCAAACCAGTTCATGGCCTCAAGGAAACATGCTTGCATGCATTCTTGTAAGTCACTCAGAAAAGATGTACTACTGACAGCAAAACTGATAGAACCGTTTCTGGAGGTCTATCTACTAAAGAAACAAAACCCCAGACGTTCCGTGGCTGTGCGCTAGAACTCACTGTGGCGTTCTGATGCGTGGCTGTTTTCCGGCGGAGCCTTGCCGGCTCCCGCCTCTGTCTCATTCCATGATGGCTTACACTGGTGCATAACTGCATGCAAAAGGCATTTACACTTCTCCACTTCTTCTCATACTGAGATTCTTGTTGTTTTATCTGGATCCTAACACGGTCACTCGAATAGACATACTTTGAAAGGATTCCTAGTGTGCTGTCATCTGAAGGTTTCTGCCTGTGTTTGAGGTGTCTCTGAACTGCCCGACTGTGTTCAAGAAAACAGATAAATACTGAGCCTCACACTTTGATCAGAGAGCAGGACAGTTTCAGGAAAAGGCACACATTTTCTCATCTTCTACACTTGCCCTCACCTGACCAAATGATGGCTGGGTTTTTAGATCCATGACTACAGAAGGTAACTGGAGTTGGAGAAGGTCATCTTTCCCTGGGTTAATGTCTTTCTTGCAGTCAGCAGCCTTTCTATATTTGTATGCAAAAGAATAAAAACTGTATACAGTTTACATTGAACTTAAGAAATGAAAACCAAAGGAGCTCTGGTGGCCTAGTGGCAAAGAACTGCGCTGCAAACCCCAAAGACCTGCAGTTCAAATCCACCAGATGCTCTGCTGGAGAAGGAGGGGCAGTGTCCTTTGGTGCCAGTCAGATCCAACTCAACAACAACAAATGAAAACCAACTCGTCCTTTTGTAATCTCTTGATTCTCTTTAAAGAAGCCACTTAACCGAGGCAGACCTTGATGTTTATTTCTTAAGGATCTAAACCGTCCTTTTTACACTTAGCATCTTTAGGAGGATCCGTCTTTAACTTGCAGTGGAACTGTGGACAGTAACAACTCGGAATACTGGAATTACTCTCGTTCTATTTAGGATCTTCACAAACCTTTTTGTTGTGGATTATAGTCCTATTGTAGAGTTTATAACCTTCTGATGCTGATACAGGAAAATGTCATAAAAGATGCCTACTCGGATGATCCTATTTCTTGTTGTAGAGCTTTGAAAATTTCCCCATTTAAACTCCTTACTGTATAGAGTAAGCCTGGAGTCCTGTTTATGTTCCAGTGGAGAGGAAATCTGCATTTGTTTGCTGGTTCAAAGTTTCCGGCTAGTACATGCTACATTTTAGTACTGTTACTGAAGGTTGTTTCTTGCGTGACCTTTTTATTGTCTTATGAATGGGAGTTAAATCTTCAAGCACAGTTTGAAGGTGACTGTGGTCATAACTCAGGTCAGTACAGGAGCAGTACTTTGGCTTGTTTCTAGGTGGCAGTATTACTAAAATATCTAGAATGGAGACATTTGTTTGAGCCTCAGTTGCTTATGAAAAAATAGAAACTGTAATAAAAGGACTAGATAGGAAATCATGAACTTAAAGGGACCTCCAGATCTTTATTGTTTAAAAGCAGGAATAAATGCCAGTGGACCGTCTGCTGGTATTTATAACTAATGTAGTTGAAAAGACATTTGACGGTGTCCTTCCGTGCAGTGGTCTATAAAGGTCAGTTAGCTCTTCACAGAAGACGTTTATGTTCACACACCAAGGGGAAGCTGGGGCAAGAAGGGAGGGAGGCCACTTCCTGAGCGTAGCCTGCCACTGTTTCGAAGAAGAGATAAACTCGCATACCATCAACACCTTCCCATTCACATTGCATTCTGATGGTTTTCGGTTGAGTGAGAGAGTGTTGCCACCATCACCATTGGCTGATCCCAGAACGTTTTTACGAACCCGGAAAGAAACCCTGCAGGAGAATTCGTGATCCCCCCAACCCCCCAACGGCCTCTGGCAGCCGCTCGTGTATCGATTTGTCTCTTCTGGACGGTTCACGGAACAGAACTGCACATGTGTGGCTCTTGGGTCCGACTCCTGGCCCTTGGCTTGATGCTTTTAGGGTTCATGCATTTAGCGTACGTCAGTACCTCATGCTTTTCTGGGGCTGCATGGTATTCAGCCGCTTGCTTCGTCTATCACTCAGCCTCTGATGGGCATTTGGGTAGTTTCTACTTTTATGAACATATGAACATTCATATATACATTTATGATTTGTTATTTGACAGGTCCCCTGATTATCTCAGCACTTCCTTTCTGGTACCCCAGCATGGCTTATATTTTCCCAGCCTCACTCTAATCAGCCATTTACCAAGGAAGGCTGGGGCAACGCAATGGAACACGGCTTCTCGACACCAGGAGCTGGGTGGTGGCTTGTGGTCATTTGCCTCCGTGCTGTCGTATTTCCACACTATGGTAGAGTAGGAATCTGGACTCCTAATCCTTCATATGTTCGGTTCTTTGTTCAGCTGCCCTGGAAGGAAGTGAGCGGCGCCTCCCTATGGGGCTGACACTGCTCCAGCACCCTCTGCTCCTGGCTCCTGCGAGGGTAGTTTCCTGACCCTCCCAGTGAATGGGAACACCTGCCCATTGAACCCCACAGAGTACTCCGTCACCACCCCCACCCCATCCCCGCCAGGCACCTTTAACTGAAAGGGCAACACCAAAGCATGCTCCGGCTTCCACTGTGATGGAGCAGTGGGGAAATGAGTGTCGGTCCCGAAGGCTTCTACTTTGAAAGGGACTGTCCAGCTTTTTGGTATTTGTTTTGACGATTTTGTTAAAACATTTTCTCTTTACTTTTTACTTTATAATTAAACCTTGTACATAATATTTAAGCAAGCACTGGACAAAATAATGAACATCGTAGAGTGTGAGGCGTAGTGGAAGAAAGTAGGTAAAAGAAGGCAGTTTCAGCCAGTCTTGAGGGGAATGGTTAATAACCATGGCAGAACCACACTGTGGTGATCTTAATCCAAAATGCTCTCTGAGCTGAAACACATTAGCAGTTAAAGGTCTTAAACTCTTATTTTAATAATATTTTATAACTTCCTTGCATAAAACTTTACCTCTAAGTTCATTGGATCTTTTGTCCCTTGAATGCTTAAATTTTAGGAGTATTAGGACCTAGTTCACCGAAGGACTCTTTATGAAACAATTATTCTTCAGTCTGAACACTTGTAATGGGAGGAATTCCTTGGTCAACTTAGAATAAAGTCGATTTATATAACAAATGTGGTTAACCTGTACAATAATCATTATAACTTGTGAGACAATGGCGTCTATGATAAAGACCACTTTCAGTTTTATAGATTTGATTCATGTAATGGAAATAATTGCTTCTGTGTTTTTTTCACTCAACAATGGGCTCCTGGCAAGAGTAGCAGAGACTGAGCATGTCCGTGCCCTGAATACGAGCTCCTAGCCTGGTCTCTTGTAACCATGGCAGTTGTGGGCAGTGTGGTTCCTGTTGAGTTACCTTGACTCCTAGTGACCCATGAACAACAGATCGGCCCCTGCCCTATCCTGTGCTGTCCTCATCATCTTGGATATACTTGAGCCCATTGTTATAGTCAGTGAGACGGTCCATCTTGGTGAGGGCCTTCCTTTGTGACCCTGACCTTCCGTGTTCACAAGCACGATGTCTTCCCAAGGACTGGCCCTTCCTAACAACGTGTCTAAATTATACGAATATGAGGCAAAGTTTCACCATCCTTGCCTCTGTGGAGCACTCTGGTTGCACTTTCTCTAAGACCTATTTGCTCTTTTGGCAGTCTGTGGGATATTCAGTACTCTTTCCAGTACCATATCTCAAAGGCATTAATGGTTCTTTTATCATCCTTATTTATTGTCCAACTTTCATGCAGTTGAAAAGAACATGGCTTGAATCAAGTGCACCTTAATCTTTAAATGCAGTTGAAAAGAACATGGCTTGAATCAAGTGCACCTTAATCTTTAAAGTGACAACATTGCTCTTGTCTTTTGGAGAGGTCTCAGACAGAGGAGCCAGATGCTCTGGCTACACCTGCCAGAGGAGCCAGGTGCCTCCCATAGCATGGTATTTGTACGTTTGCTTGTTTTTATGGTGTGCTCTTAGGGGTTGTTATGTGCCGTCAAGTTGCTTGCAACTTATAGCTACCCTCTACAACGGCCCTGAAACCTACACTATCCTGTGCCAACTTTACTGTCTCTGACACATCTACCGTCATTATGACAGTCACTGAATCAATCCATCTCATCTAGGTTCTTTTCTCTCTGTCACTCCACCCTTCCAAGCATAATGGCCTGGTCCCTCCTTGTAACATGCCCAAAGTATGTTAGATGAAGCCTCAGAATCCTTGCCTCTAAGGAGCAGGCTGGCTTCACCCTCTCTAGAATGAACCTGCTTCTTTTCCTGGCAGTCTATGGGTTATTCAACACTTTTTCGGCACCACAGCTCAAAGGCATCAATTCTCTATCATTCCTAGTCATCCAGCTCTCTGACGCTAGCAAGCATTTGTGAAGACTGTTGCCTGGATCAGGCGCACCTTAGTCTCCAGACTGACATTGTTGCTCTTCAGTACTCCAGAGCGGTCCCTGACAGCTGACTTAGGGATACAATACTTGTTAGTTTCTTTTATTGGGAGAGTGATTTGCATGTTGCTGCGTATTTTCTAGCTTGGATATGAGTGTGTGCGCGTGTTTATCGTTGACTCTTAGGAGTACAGCACTTGTCTGTCTGTTTGCTGTCCTGCAGTGTCTTTGTGTGAGGCTGTGCCACTGTATTTCAGGTACCAGCAGGGTCACTCGTAGTGGGCAGATTTCAGCAGAGCTTCCAAGTTAAGACTAGGAAGCAGGACTGGCCCTCCACTTCAGAAGTAACAGGCTTTTGAAAATCCTATGAACAATGGAGGAATACAGAGGATGGTTTCTCTGTAAAATCCCCCTTTAAAGATGAGGAAACAGCACCTGGTAGTCTGACGTTAGTCTTCCAATTCTCATACAGAATTGTGTGATATTAGGGGCTGTT